GCGGGCACACAGGTGTATGCACAGGTGTACGCACAGGTGTATACACAGGTGCAAGCTGGCGCTGTTGCTGCGTGATAGCGGATTGAACGATGCACTGCTTCTTCAGCTCATGATGCGTGCAACAAAGTGTGTGTAAATGAATCAACATTTTAAAAATATATATTTGTGATGTCATTTGTCTCAGCACATCATAACATTAGTACCCATTCTTGGAAAAGTGAACGTTGTTTCTCCTTATAGATGGATTCACCTCTGCCATAGAAACATGGAATTTCCACCACTAGCTCAGGGCAGTAAACGGGAGACATTCACTGCCCCACTGATCATTTGAGCGGGAAATAACATTGACTTTGGCTATGTCATGTGTTCGATATGTTAATGTCACCCCTGTCGCCACCACAGGCCCTTTTACCTCTCACCACCACTGTTAAAGAAGAGACGTGATTTTTTATGTAAATCGGTCACCCTGAATCAAGAAAACTCAACATCACTTTCTCTCTACTGTGTAAGGGATGCAGGCAATAGCCAGTGCTTTGAGCGGTTGACCAGTGACATTGAGGAAAGTTCGTAAGTAACTGCTGTTGTGCTGCATCATTAACAGAGGCATACCCTCCATGGCCTGAGTGTGACACTTCCACATCTTCTGCTATGACTTTAAATTCCTCGCTGTCTTTGAGTTTTGCTTCATTCCACATGCCACGAATTGAAGTACTGCGCTATGCTAAATTGCACACGCCACAATCATTCTATTGTGACTCTTCGTTGACATTAATGGTATATTGTGAACTTCTATTCACGATAAAGTACACAAGCGTAGCATTCTGCCTTACTAGCAGTGCAACAATTAATCCCACGTGCTGATTCAAGACATTGTCATTAATGCAGGGGTCAAATTTTTATGCAAGAGGTGATTATTTTGTTTTTACATTGCAGTTAATGATAGCACCTCCTCTCGCTGTAGTGGTGATGTAAACCCATAGCGTGCAATTAATATGAATCGAAAAGCATGTTGCTTCGTACACATGCAATTCGATGCACATATTGCAAGCTTAAGAATGTATCCTGTTTAAGGTGGCTGAATGGCACAAAGACTACACTGTCGAGCTGACACTGTTTAAGATTCTAGGTTTGAATCCTGGTAGCCTCCTGTGATTAAACTGGATTCTCAAGTATGGCGAGTTGATGGCCGTTGCCTGGTTACCAATGACTTTACAACGACAAAAAAAAACATCATATTGAATGTCGTTCTGCACTTAATATGAATACATTTAATCTCTGAGAATAAAACAAAATTCAGCTTGTCTTGCAACAGACGTTACACTCTCGTATTGCCAATGGGAAAGTGCTGGCCCTCAGTGTGTAGAACAGAGGTTACTTGCAGAGATCTCAGAAGTAGCTCTGTAGCGTCTGCTTCTGTGGGATGTTCTCAGGGTATGTGCTCTGCTCACTATGAAAATGCCGAATGGATGTTTTGAATCATGGCACGACTCCGACACCACCAAGTTGTCCCTCCAATCCGTGTTATATTTCAGGGTGTGTGCGATACCGGTGAATGTGTTTTATATGTTGTATAGCATGAACTAACACACATATTTAGATGCTGCAATGAACAGTGATGGTTAACAAACGGTAATTTATATTTTTTTTAAACGTGGGGGAAAAACGATAAAAATACGAGCGCATGCTGTATACAATCCGCAGATATGTAAATGCCGTTACAAAATGAAAAATTGTCAAGTGACATAATGAGCGTTGAGAATTGTTGAAGGAAGGCTTCATGAAATCAGTCATGTTGCTATCACGAAGATGTAGGTAATTATCCAAATTATTTGATTGTCAGAGCCATTTCCACCGCTTGTCATGTGTCAGCTTTTGCTGCCTGATTTTGCGTCCGAGTGGGAGCCACCTCACAAATGAGGCACTCCTACCTCAATGCTGACATCCCAGGCGGCCGCTTGTTTAAATGAATGAACGAATGCCGTTGATGGTTGTGTTTCTCACAGCATTTTTCCAAACTCTTAGAAATGCCACTGGGGCTGGGGATGCCTTTGTGTGCTGACACTCCAATGCCGCATCAAGAATGTGGCATTTTGAGGGTATTGGTGCCTTCCTCGGCCACCCCGCTACGAGTCACTTTGTGAGGAGCTCCTTTAATAGCAAAAGCAGAGAAAAGGGGGTTCCTTCACCGACCATGACTAAGAAAGAGCTCTCGGAGAGACGTGTGCCCTCCGTATTTCTGTACAAGCCGTACCCTTCTGCTGCATATCTAACGTTCCTGCGATTGTGGGTGGCTGTGTTGGACAGGATGTCCGTAAAGCCAAAGTCTGTTATGGAAGAATCATAATTTTACAATAGTTACAACCGCGTGCTTAAATACTCGGATTATGTGAAATGTTTAGTGCATGCCATGAAACTAAACATTTGAGTGACCTTCAACAGAAACATATTCATTAACAGTTCAGAACAATTCACAACATGTACATGTGATATTCTTGCAATTACCTGATACTTATCAATCTCGATCCGATGTGTGTTGCCAACGGCATGGCAGAACATGTGGAGGCTAAGAGGGATGAGGCTCACACAATAAAACATTCTTACGAACATATTACCAAGTACTGCAACGATAATTTTGACCAATCTTGCTGCATCGTTGGCCTATTGTGGAGGAATTAAGTGGAGGTGAATAAAGGCCCTGGCAGTCAGAGTTACTTACAACCATATCAACCACATTTTAAAAAAATAGCAAATCGGCATTGCTGGATTGAGAATCATCTGTGTAGTATGGGCCTGAAGAGGCACTGGAGAGATGAGTTGAGATGGAGAAATACGTGGAGTGAAGGGTCGAAAAGGAAGCAATGGGGATGTGTGGAGAGAAAGTCTGAGGAGTGAGAGTGATGGTGACAGGGTGGCTTTTAAGGCGGTTGATGCACGATGATTACAGACACGGGCTCCAGTGGGTGTGCTTTAGACATGCACTCAATCTCGTTTGTTTGCTGCCATTTGTGGCTTCCTGAGTTCAAATCCTGGTCAGGGTCAATTTTGCCCATAATCCTTCTTGGTTTGAGCAAAATTTGACTTTTCTGCTGGGTCAGAAGTAAATAGTGGGTGTCTAATGGGCTAAACGGGTCCCTGCCATAATAATAGGGAATTATATTTTAAAATAGAGATGACTATTGCTCATGAGTGTTCCAAAATAATCTTGGGGAAAAAAGGAGGTCCTATGTCTAGCAAAGACTTAGAATCGAGAGTACACGAATTAAGCAAAATGCACCAAAATAAACAAAAATCCACAGAGATATACCATGCCTACGATTCACCGAACATACATGTATGTATTTACATTAAACATGTCAGCAGACATAGCAGTACACGGAGATAACTGAAAAGCAGCAACGACAAGAAAGTCCACAATGACATGCTTAATAAGAAGCAACCATTTTGCTCGGATTTATATTTTTTGTTACCATTGCATAAAACGATTTCAAAATGACAAAATTAAATTATGATTCACTTGCCTCGTGAAGAACATTCTTGACAGGACATTTAAAAATGTATTCAACCTTGTATAGATAAGAGGCTTATTAAATCGAATTCAGGAGTTGTTTTGTGGCTTCATGATTCTCATTGAAGAATGTTATTTTTTTACAAACAAGCAAATTAATGTTAGTGGTCAGTATTTTCTTAAATGCAGTGTGAAGTGAGAGTTATTGTGCCTCTTTAATACGCCGTGATCCAAACAACACCCCTGATCTACATATATACTGTACGAACTTGCATACCTACACAATTGTTCAGCGTATGTTACATATTTCACGCGGTGTTTAAAATTGGCCGGTATACGATATGGACATATTCCGTGCCGGCACTTCCCACAACACCAAATATGTGTACCGGGAATGTTTCCTCTTCCTACGCGACGATGTTTCTGCAGAGAGAAATCGCCTGTTAACATATGGGCTACAGGACAAAAATAGGTCGCACTTATAAATACGGCTTGTATGTATGTACGTGTACTAAGCTGAACACTTTTACCCAGAGCTATGTCACGCACGACTCGTACGCCCATTCCACAGAACATGACAAAAAAAAGATAAATCCTCATCTGTTCTTCCAATACGGCTGACAAAAATAAGGCATTATGTTTTTCAACTTGGGGCAATAAGATCTCACGGGGAGTGATGTTTGGAGGGTGGGGGGGGTCGAGGGGGGCGGTGGGTTAGGGCAGAACTTGGAAGTTGTTGCGGATTCCTACACACCCGGGGCTTCTCGTTGGACTCATAACTCCTTTACAACCGGACGCTTATTATGGCACGTCGTCATAACGCCAGTAAACAATCCTTGCAAAATAAAAACATATTTGCAGCAAAGTAATCTCTTTATATGACCGTGCACAGAGCTATTGCGCTTGCAGCAGCACGGGGAGCAGAGTGCGCTACTCCACGTGCCAAGACGAGATGTCTGTGTGTGTGCATGTGCGCGCGTGTGTTGGTATATGTGTGTGAACATCCTACATACAAATGATCTGCTTTGGAAATGCCTCCACTCTGAGGTCCCACCGTTAGAACAAAAAAAAACAATATCCCACCCGTGAGAAGCGGGCAAAGTGTTGGGGGCAAAATGTGACAGTTCACATTGGTGTTTATAATTAACCAGACGGTTGATCAAAATGCTGCTCGTTAACAAAGGGCATCACGAGCAGGACAGCCATTGATAATTGGCAGGGCTCCCCTAATGAATGGGTAACTTGAGGGCTGCCTTGTGCATTGTCGGGACCAGCCCATTGCTCCTATCCCCCACCTCATGTTTTGCTCCCCCCCTCCCAACCTTTTCCCTCTCTCATCCTTCCTCCTCTTTCTCCAACTCCCCCCTCCTCTGTCTCCATCGGTCCCCGTCCCCCCACCTTCCCACACATGTGGGATGAGTGGTACAGCCCCACAGGGCTCCCAGTGGCCACTTGTTTGGTGGGCTGTGAGTGGCACCCCTCTAAATGTGGCCCATTGGTATCGGCTGCTCTGGCGGGAGTTTGGGGGGTGAAGAGAGAGATACAGAGAGAGAGAGATGATGCCAACCGTTCGGGATGAACATGTGTGATGGGAAGTGCAATGTGCTGTGGTCTGTCATAGTGTAGAACGCTGCGGTCTGTACTCAAGTTAGTGGTTGCAGCCCTGCATGGTGCAGTGTGGAACGAGTGGTGTTGCTGCTGTCTTGGTGTGGTGTTGAATCTGGCTTGCGACTACTGCTGCTCCTGCTGACAACGCAGCGTTTTAGTGTGGTGCAACTGTGCGTGGCGTAGCGCACGTCACTTTTCGAGTCGTCCGGCGTGTCCCTCGTTGCGTCGTGGCGTTACCGCGGCGTGGAAGCGGTGGGTGACTGAGAGTGGCGCTGAGGCTCGCTCCTTCCTATCCTCCGCCGTGCTCGCGCCGCGTGGCCAGCCGCCTCGCCGGGATGCCCTCCGTCTCTGTGCGCCTGCCGTGCCGGCGTCGAGGCCGCCGCGTCTCCTGGGTGTGCGTCTCCTGCAGGCTCGTGGTAAGTTCACGAGGAGAGAGTGTGGCCAGTCTCGTTAGGTCGGACTCGCATGGGGGGCGGGGAGGGGGGGTAAACAAGTGCACGGTCAATCTCTTGACTCGCCGGTCGCACGGCGGGGAAGCGTTGCGCGTGTGCCACATCTCGCACGAGTCAGACACCCACGATGTTCACGACGTCGAAATTGCGGGCGGGATGATCGTTCGGTGGCTGCGAACACGGTGCTGCAGAAATGATTCCTTGCGATTGGCACAGCATGTGTTTGTCACACGCATTTTGCTCGCTAGCCAAATTGTGTTTACACTGCAATGCGAATGCTGAGCAGCTTTGTCGTACCGTGTACAGGAAGGGCATGTTATGTTTTCTTCTTCTTCTATATTCTGGTGGTGATAGAGTGCGTAATTCTGCTGTAATTGAACTTAAAACTGCTTTACAAGTGTAACGATGCTGGTGTTTTATTCCGCATTCTTTACGATTTGTTAACATTCATTCCTGGTTGATATATCTATTTTAACGCAATGGCAAAATGTGCATCACGTACATTTAAAAAAATAATCTCACCTATAATTGTTGTTCTCCTTATAATGGCTCAGGTTTCCCTTGAAAACACATTTTGTATATCTGTTAAAAATTACGATGTCAAGTCAAAACATGATTATTATTATTGTACACAGCAACGGTCTTTATTTAGCCAAGAAAGAATCCCAAGACTATTTTTCACTCGGGTTCAATTGGGGAATTGTGCTGTCCAACTTCACAACCAGGACTTTGTGTTTTACCATCAGCAGATTTCTAAACACGGGATACAATCTCAATATCTCCTTTACAAGGCCCTAAATAAAACGGCTGATTGATCGGTTGACCGCCGCATTCATCTCGTTCAGCGCGTCCTTGGAATTCAGCTGAGACCAAGTTCGTGTTTGTGAATGAATGCCGTGGCACGAGATGGAGCGGGCCTTGGTGGACAATCGTCAAGTTCCTGGACAGACCCTAGGCGCCTTCATGCCTCTTGTTTAACTTTGACATCAGCCATGTGCTTCGAACAAAGCTGCTGAGCGTAATCGTATGCCATTTACGAATATTTTCTTGCCATTGTGCTGCCCTGTGATATGCTTTTGCGTTGCATGTGCTGTTCTATTCATATATTTAGCGTTGCTCAGGTGTGTGTGTATTTTTTTATGGCTTTGCTTTATTTTGTTCAAAGTTGCATCGCGCGCGTGTCTTGTGCTGAGTGACGCTGTGTTGTGCTTGATCACAGTCAACGTAATGGTGTTTGCAACCGTCGTTTGTTGGAGTCTATTAGAGCTCATTGCATTTCTCTGACATTGTATGTTGTCAATTTGCGTCGTATTACTTTCCCTTGAACCGTGTTGCGTGTTATGGCCTTGCCTTTTATCTCCCCGGGTAGTTGCGCTGCACCCATCAACAATCGTGGGGTTGGGTTTCTCTCGTGGGAGGGGGGGGGCGTGCAATCTCTCTCTCTGCATCCCAGAATAACATTTGTATACGTGCGTATGTGTTTGCGCACGTGTACGTGCTTGGGCACTCACTCACCCCAGTCTGCATTGCCACGGTGTGTGTGGGTGTGCCGTACGTGGGTGTGCACACACGTGCGTGCACACCACCACATCAAGTGCACACGTAATATCGATGTCAACCGCGTGGTAGCGAGCGGAGAGGAGGGAGGAGCAATCTTCATGCGCAATGCATCTTCCGTCGCCAAGTTAAGCCAACCACGTTCGTTGCCTGTGATTGTTGCTCATTCAAACGGAACCCTGTGGGCGCAGAAAACCACGTGGGTCACTCGCAAACGCAAGGAGCGCGACTCGTCCGCTCGCTCGCTCAGCTGACCGCTAAGACGCAAAGTCACGTGGAGAGGACACGTTGCAACTCTCAAACGGCATCTGGCGCGTGTGCTAAACCATCACTACGTTATCCTCTTTTTTGTAGGCGGGGGGGGGGGGGGGGCTTACGTTGCACGTTGAGCACAGCAACGAGTGCCCCACAATCCACCTGCCCGTACTCTCAAATGCGCATTTTTGGTTTTACTCGCCGATTTGGACGCTTGCCCACTCTGCAGGCTCCGCGAGATTGGCCGTCGTGTTCAAGCCTCGCCCGTCGTAGCGGTTTAACGCAAAAATGTGTCCAATTAAGGCCATAGAATGGCATTTTCTGGGCTTTTTTTCTCTTTGGCGTGTGTGCAATGTGCTTGGCCAATCCTTCTTTGAGTCATTATTCAGAGTTACGGAGCAAGAGAGACTGTGTGACTTCCACAGGGGTCTACAATCCTCGGCTCGCACTCGGTACCATGATATCTGCAGTCCTCGTTCCACATGCCCTCATTCGTGTGAGGACGATGTCCCTTCGCATGCATCCGTGTGACATCTGCGATTGCATTAACACCCTCACGCGATGTCTGTTATCCTTGTCACACGCGAATGCGAGGTCTATAACCCCTTTGCTTGACACTAACTCACGCGGCATATTTGGTACTCGTTTCGCATTCGTGTGTGATCTATGATCATTGTGCCAAGCTCAGCTTATGCGTGGCCCGATAAGACTCGTTTCTGACTCATTCGCAAAAATCTACGACCTCTGGTCTGAGACTCCCTTGCGGGACGCGAACAACCTCTGTCCCACGCTGCCACACGATGCGCCTTTTCTCCGTGAAAGATCTGGGATGCCGTTAGCATGAAAGACGGTCTATAAAGTGGAAGTATGTAGTATTATTATTATCCCCGCTCGCTCTCACAAGCCTCAGTGTGGGCCAATGGTCCCAGGAGGCACGTGTGCGACTCGGCGCACTCCGCATGTAGATTCATGTGGAGCGACTGACCTCGGCGGGGCTTCACTGGACGGTCGATGGCCCTTTTGAAGGCGATCCAGAACTTTGGGCTGCTTCTTTTTGTGTTTGTTTGGGGGCGTGGGAGTGGGGCCACTGGTCCCATGCTTCATGTCAGAATGTAACTTCGGGTTGTTCATCCGCAGCCGCTCGATCTGTGATAAAGGAAACAAACAAAAATAATTGCAGCTGTCTTTGCTTCGTTTGACAATTGTGAATAGCAAACGCAAACGCTGATATGTGTATTTAACCATTAAACCACGAATGTATTCACAACTCCTTGTTTATAAGCTACACTATACTGTACTAAATACACTTATTGTAAGCATCTGGAAATACCCATACCTAACTATGCATGCTCACGATATTGTAATGTTACCACACTTACCAAGTACACGTACACCCTTACACTGATATTTATGCACGGGACATGTCGCAAATATATTCATCAGTTAATATTCATTCTGAGACTAATGGTACTTGTATCAAATCCTGTTTGCGATAATTGATTTTTTACATTGTGTGTCAATGATATATTTATGTTGAATTGAGATCGTGGAACTCATCAAAAGACTGTAAATACGAGACAAATGAATGAGACGAAACAAACGCGATATTAAATTGACAGTTGCTGGGAACTGGAGAGTGGTGGTGCAGTGGTTAGCGCACTGCACTATGAAACCCACGATCTTGAGTTTAATTCCCAATGTTATATTGAGCTTCAAGTCAGTGGTGAGTGCCATCCCGACCATTCGTGGAGCCTTTATTCACCAACCCTAACTGACCAGCGTGGTGAAGTATGGTCAAACAATCCCCACAGCGGACATGGTGCAGAGAGGCCTTTGCTCAGCAGTGGATGACAAATTATGTACTACTTATAATTACAGCCACCATCATCAGCATCGCGATCCATGGGCAGATAGCCCGTAAGTGTCCACTGCACATGCCGTCATGTGCTTCCCCTTCTCTCTTGTGCCAGTGTGTTCAAGTAGTGCACATCAATCTGGCACTAATAACACAGGACAACAATATACGCTACACCCAAATAATACATATACAGCCATGAAGGCACAAGAAATCCAATATGTTTATTCATTGGGTCTTTCTGTAAAGCCACGTAGATAGAAAAATGAGAAAAATAAAAATAATAACAATATCACGACGTTTCGATCGCAACACGAGCAATCGTCATCAGGTGAAAATATAGCGGAAGCGCTGCTAAGGCAGGGAGTTATAAAAAAAAAACACAAATGGATTCATATTTTGAGGCCATGGATCTTTCCCTTGATGTTGGCTATTTCCAAATGAAACTTTTATATATTGCTCGAGAAATTGGTTTGTGAGAATTTCTCTTCAACTAGCGCTGAGCTCGAACAATAATAATCGGCACGTTAAAATACTCTTACACGTGACTGTTGAAATTGTTTGGCTGTGTCGGGTGGAGGAGGGTTTGACGACACAAATTTGGTCCGATAATGACATGGCCTCACCCACAAATCTAGTTTGAATCAAACTCCCTCATTTCCCCTCACACCCAATCCTTGCATGCTACTTACAAAGACAAAGCCCCCTCCCCCCCGTAGCCTGGACAAGTTGTTGGGACAAGTGCTGTTAGTGAGCATCTATTGAAGGCTGGCGCGGCACACAAAGGGGTACAACCACGCCCGGCCGTCTTCGTCTCCCCATTACCGATGTTTACACACGGAACCATGTACTCACTTAAGGCTGAGTTGACCTACACACACAAAAACACAAAGATCCCCCGTATAGCCTGAGCAGATTGTTGAAGCAAGTGGTGTTAGCGAGCACCTATGAAGGCCAGCACAGCACACGAGGGGGTGGGTGGCCACCAACACGCCCGGCCGCCTTTGTCTCCCCAGTGGTGATGTTTACACACCGCACCAGGTACTCACTTAAGGCTGAGTTGACCTACACCCACACACAACCGCACACACATGCTCCAGCCCCAGGCCCATCCGTCAGGCTGTGGTGTGTAATCAGTAATTGCCACTGCGCTTACCATGATCCTATCAATTGCTGTCAGGCAGGGCTAATCTCAGCTCATGCGGGTCTGATGGCCTAACTCTGCCTTCAGGGAGGCATGGGTAGGTGACTTCAAAGTGTTTCGCTGTGCTTTTTAAAGCGTTGGAATTTAATTAAGAGATTTCACGTTCGGGGTGTCAGCTTATTGTCCGAGTACACAGCTCAAAGCCTCAGCACCAGAGAGCCAAGCGTTGACGAGTTCGTTTGCTGTTGCAAGACAATAAAAGACAGGGTGGTGGGACGTAGCCCTTTCTGGATGAAATTATATAAAATAAAAACCTGTCTAGTTCAACGATTGCAAGAAAAGGTCTGTTTAACTATCTCATTTAGAAAAGGTATGCTGCCGTGATATTCCGTATTGGTTTGCACACTGGACTTGCAATCCAGAGGTTAGCTGGTTCAGCCTCTTGGCAGGGCAGTTGGAAACAATGAGGCAGGTGTCTAAAATCCCCAAGCCTCCATCCACCAAGCAGCATAAATAGGTGTCCCACAGTGAGTCAATCGGTAAGTCGTTTGAGGTAGCGCGATGTGAACTCCCTCAGCTGGTATGCAGGGAGGTTCGTGGGTTCGATCCTGACCCTGATGCATGTATATTTGGAGTTTGCATGTTCTCCCCGTGGCCGTGTGGATTTTTCTTCGGGTCCTTACGGATTTTCTCTCCACATTTAGAATCAACGCGCATTTCGAGTATTTGGCTGCTATAAATTTCCACGTGACAAGCCACTTCGTTGAGCTATCATTTGTGGTCAGGTCGTATAGCTCAGTAGACCTTACCTGGTAAATTATAGAATACTTTAACAGTGAATTTCTTCAAATATATATAGCCAGCGTGGAAGAGTAGGCCAAATACCTCATATAGGGGCTCTCTAGAGCTCGCCACAGTGAAAGCCCTTCGGCTAGCAGTCGCATGAGCAAGAGATTGCAGGGTTGCACCTTTTTAAAATAAATGTTGGAATTTTTTGACGTAAAGAAGGGAATTAATTGTTTATTTATGCATGCAGCCACAAGGGTCTTGCTGACTTGTTTGTTTCCATGTGTTCTTGCAAGTTTTCCAGTTGTTTTTTGTAAAAAAAACTTAGTGGTGGGAGAGAAGACATGCAGAATTTAGAAACATTACAAACAAACAACTCTGGATAGGATCTCCACTATCCTCTTCCCCATGGGGAATGACCGCTTCCTGGATATGGTTCAAGAAAACTGGCCAGGAAAAGAATGGTATCATGGAGAGCTTGATGAAAACAATGGGAAGGCATAGAGGCGGAAGACATGCTTGTGATCAGGAAACGTTTATGTATCAAGTCGTGGGGAGACTGGAACAAAAATAATAATGCTTTTTTATCACGTCAAAGTGTATATTTTTTCAACTAGGCAGATACAGACTGTGGGTTCTAGTCACACGCGCAATTAGCCTGTTTCAAAGCAGGATTTAACCACAAATCAGTGATCTGTAATTTATAACGACACTCAATAGATTATTTCACCAGTAATCTGGTTTATGATAATAAAAAACCGATGTTCTGCTAGTTTGGATTGAATCGGCATTTGTTTTGTATTGAATTATCCTCATCTGTTTTGTATTGAATGAGTGTTTGGTTTATATATTTGTGAACCGACATTTGCTCGGATTTATATTTTGTTTTACGATGGCTGGAGGTCCTCTGGCCTTGCACTGGGTCTGTTGTGCACTGATAGCTGATGTACTGCAGCTGACAGTCCATTGATAACAACAGTCATGGGGTGAACTCTGCAGTGCTTACATGTGTGGATTAACTGTGGTTGGGTGAGCTGAGCAGCGCGGGTAAGTATACTGTGACAGTGCATGTGCTTAAAGATGCTTGCGTAAATGTGCGTACGCATCGTACATTAATGACACCTTCTTGGTTCTTTCGGTAAAGTCACGTAGAATGGAAATAATAAAATAATAAAAATAAAACATAATAAAATCATTCTCACGACGTTTCGGCCACAACGCAAGCAGCCGTCCTCAGGTGGAGAGCAGGTCTGTCGAGTAGACAGAGTCTGTCTTGTAAATAGTCTACTCGACAGACCTGCTCTCCACCTGAGGACGGCTGCTTGCGTTGTGGCCGAAACGTCGTGAGAATTAATTTAGTATGTTTTATTTTTATTATTTTATTATTTCCATTCTACGTGACTTTACCTAAAGAACCAAGAAGATGAATCCCTGCAGTCACGAAAGCTTTAAATCGAAACATTAATGATACGTTTATATGTACGCGATCTAAACCAAACACCTTTATTTTGCATCTCTCATGATAGATTTGCGTGCGTTATAGTCCGACAAACCCCAAGCAGATATTTCACCTGTCGCCACCAGCGGCGGCATGACTTTAGTGGTTTGATTTATTTACGTGGCCAACGACAGTAACTTACGTGATAACCATTTGAAATGAGTGGGCTACCAAATCGTTTACTCGTTTTAGCCATTTCCATTTCTGCTGTGGCCCATGGACTATTAGTGAAGTTGTGTGTTCCAATAAATCGAAAGTAGGTGTTAGAAAATGTTTCTCAGGAAATATGAGTAAAATACTTTTATAACCAACCAACCTCTCTCGTATTTCAATGGCCTCAACTGCCACCTCCCAATGTCACCCACCAGCAACATGTTTTACTATCATTTATTGACGTTTCTCATCATCTACAAGCCTTGGCCACCAACTATCAACCCTACCAACTACCGAGTGTCACCACCACCCACCTGTCTGTCTGACCAACCACTTCCTATCCTCATCATTAACCGACCAAACGCACAGTCACCCCGCGTGAGATAACTGCCACCTACAAAGCCCACACCACGAGCCACCAATCCTCCATCCTCAATCACAGCCGATCACCCATGCCACTGCCCGCCAACTTAAATCCAAATTGTAAATAGTTTCAAAATTTCACATTCATTCCATACGAACTATCAAACCAACTTGATATATGATTTTTGGGCGCCACTCATTCGAGACGTCCACGTTATAAGCCACTTCGTTGAGCTATCTGAAAACGAGCTATATAGATCAGCGGGCTTTAACCTGGTTATAATAAACAAAAAAAAGTAAAAATGTTTCACATATTGGATTCCTTCCAAATCAGCGCTGAGGGATATCTGAACCAGTCCTACCTAATTCAGCTTCCCACTTCGCAACTCGTACTGACCGGCGTGACAAAGCATGGTCAAACAACCCCTGACCAACACACCACAGGGGTGTGTGAGGGGAGGCCTTTGGATTAACAAAGGGGTGAATTCATTATGATTCATATATGATTTCATAAAGTGACTGTCGTTGCTTGTGTGTGTGTGTCACACAGCCAGAAGAGACAGAGGAGGACACCAGCTCACAGGGGCTGCTTAGCGAGCAGGCGACCCGCACGCGCCCGCACACGACAGATCGGTGTCGCGTGTGCTCCAGACCTCTGCACAAGCCAGGCAGTCGCTGCCCAGGTGGGATGCATATGGCTGACACGCACAAAGGCACGCACGTGCTCACTTAACAAACAGCATCACACCACTGGGTCACAGTGATGTTGCCACAGTGCTCGTGCCAGGCTACGTGCACTTTGAGACCCCCTGAAAGTGGCGAAGGCTCGCTGGCAGCTCACAGGACAGACCCAGATGGTGTGGGTTGACTGGCTGAGATGACTGGGTGATGCACGACCCGTGATCCCGACTGTTCCAACACGCGCACCCATTAACTAATACACCACGAAGTCGTATACTCACAAGTGCATGCCCCCTACATGCTTGGCACACACAGCGCAAATCGCTTGCGCGTGAAGGAAAGAAAATAAGGAACTCGGAACAGCTGCTCGTGTAAGGACATAGCAGTCACACTGCGATTTCGGATTTAAAATTAGCATACATTCGTTATGTCACACACGCATGAACTCCACCCTGACCTAGCCCTCTCTAACCAGAACCACGAGATTAAAAGGAGCTCCCACTTATTGTCATCTTTTCTTTCTAGCCGTCTTTTCTCGGTTCCCATGCACGGCGAATGCGTACACATTAATTACGCCTCCCAAAAGCTTACGAGCCCCCCGAGCAAAATCCTGCGCACATGCTGATACGGCCGTAGTGTGTGTGCGTGCGCTCGCACGTAGCCCCGCGCGTGCGTTGGTTCCGAGCCAGCCGAACGACGAGGGATCAAAGGTGGCTCATGGTGAGGCTGCAGACACCGGGCAACTTTGATGCACGGCACGAGCGTTTAACGCTCCGCACGTTTGGTGCACATGGTGGTGTGCACGTGGTGGTGCACACTCACTCCAGCTCATGAAGAAAGCGCACCTGCTTGTGTTCCACACTTGCACACACGGGCGTGCGCACGTACATGCGTACGTACGAGGTCTAAAACACGTGAAATGAAAAATGTAGGAACCCTTGCCAAAGCCAGCCTTCTGCCCAATCCACGCTTACTCATCGATGGATGACACCAGTGATACTATAAATACATTCTGAATAGATTTACACATTATTTTGAAAAATATACTGAACCCCACATACTGCCGCCACTCTATGGCCCCACAACTTTGTCAATTCTCCCTTCTTAAACCCATTTTTAAATCCCCCAGGCCCACCCCCCCCGCCCCCACTACCTCATCCTACAATCACCGCCACCACCACCACTCCAGCCTCACCCGTGTCCTTTTGTGCATTGCCACAATGCTCGGAGTAAAGAGTGGCAGTGTGAGGTTGGCGGGGTGTGTGTGTGTGGGGGGCATGTGGCTCCCCCACCCGTCCCCCGAGCTGTCACTCTCCGTCCTTTGTGTCGTGATGCATTGAGGGACCCGCCGTTGCCCCAGCTCCTCCGCGACCCGCTCGTGTGACTGGCTGCACACGCGCCCGCCCACTCGCTCGCTCGCTCGCCCGCCCATGAAGACAGTGGCATGCCACCATCTCTATCTGTCGCTGCAGCGGCGCTCGCAGGAGACGCCGTTCGTTCGCTCAGTTGGGGGGGGGGGTGGGTTGCCCGTGGGACACGAGTCGGTGAGTTAGTGCCACGGCCGTGCTGCTGGCACAGGCGTCGTCGCGCGGCTGAATAACGGCGCAGTGGCGAAATTCGGGCACGCTCCAGATTGGGATTCGGGGGTTGCGATTCGTATTCCGAGATAAGGCTACATGTGGGCTTATTTATCTGGCCAACCTACTCAGTCCATCGTGGAGAATGATGGTCAAACAACTCTCATGACCGCCACGTCGTGAGAAGGCCTCCGGCCAGCGATGGATTCACAAAGCGCAATATTTTTTTTATTGGTTGAAGTTGTATGCCACATACTTGAGATTTGTGGTGGTGACCGATGCACACTCCTTTACACAGATAAGCACTGGTGATCGATGAACTCCCATGCTGTTGCCAGACTGCCACTTCGTGCCAGGATGTCACTGTTTTGCATGATCGCACCAGCAGTCTGAGCACTTTCCAAGTTACTAACGCCATTTGCACATATTAAGCCACAGATAATTTGAATGACCGTATTATTTTATGTTTCATCATGATCATCATCATTGTCACGATCCATGCGCAGAGAGCCTATAGGTGTCTCCTGCACATTTCGTCAGTTGTTTCCACTTTCCTCTGTCGTATGTGCTCAAGTAGTGCGCGCATCTTTCTGGCACCGAACTCGCATGTCGTTGTCGAGCCATTCATTCTCTGTGAGGTCTTCCTCTCTTTCCGGTTCCTCACATTTTTCCGAACAACACACTTTGCATTTTACATGTTGATGTCCCATCCTACACGTGTGTCCAAATAGTGCCAGGTTCCATCTCATGACTACCTGCATCAGGTCTATGTTTCGGCTAATAATAATCGCGATTAATTGAGTGAATCTATATCATGTTATATAACGACTGTACTACAGAGACACATGCACAAACACTCACAATGCAACTCGGTAGAAATAAAAAATATATAGGAAAATATACACTGTTAAGACATGATACTACAAACACAAAGTAAAAAAATGCATATACGCACACATTTTAATAACCCTTACAAAAAACATTGTCAGGGTTACGTTATTGTATACGTATGCTTGACAGACAAGAAATAACAAACTCTGGCATGGTTAGCATGAGACTACAGCATCGCTGTGTTCCACAAACGGCGCAGTGCGCATTGATTACTATTGATATTAAATTGCAGCAAAAAAATGTGCGCGCACTGATACATACGTGAAAAATTAACACAACGTGTTTTACGTTCACTAAATACATTTAACAGGAAGAGTGCGTGAAGACGAATACAATTCACTTGAATGCAACGTAGCAGTGAGTGAATATCGATTTAAGCGGCGTGAGCATGCAGTATGTTTGCGTTATAAATCCTGAGCGTTTATAATTGCACTGAACTTTAAGGGCCAATCCAGCTTACCACACGTCCTCCACCGAGCCTGCGCCATGGCAACGCCACGTAGTAGTACGTGGCAATGCTTTGAGTTTTTCATGGCGATTATCAATGATTGAGTGATTATGAAATGTAAATGACTAAACGCAAACAACTTCCTGGCAACCTATGCAGCGAGAGTAACAAAAATGTGTAGCAATGGCGGCATTCCAGCGCTTCCAAAGTGCGTGCCACGCACGTGGGTATTCACCTTGTGCACAGTGCGAGAGTATGGATTAGCACAGGCTGGGATGGTATGCATCATTGGTAGTGATGCAAACGTTGTGGCGGTGTTGTCGTGATACACACAATGCTAATGATCTTCTTGGTTCTTTCGGTAAAGTCACGTAGAAAGGAAATAATACAACATAATCAAATAAAATTCTCACGACTTTTCGGCCACAACACAAGCAGCCGTCCTCAGGTGAAGACAGAGCTGTCTGAAAGACAGCGCTCCAATGAACCGTTTGATTGGAGCGCTGTCTTTCAGACAGCTCTGTCTTCACCTGAGGACGGCTGCTTGTGTTGTGGCCGAAACGTCGTGATAATTTTATTTGATAATGTTTTATTTTTATTATTTTATTATTTCCCTTCTACGTGACTTTACCGAAAGAACGAAGAAGATGAATCCCTGCAGCCACGAAAGCTTTAAATCGAGACTGCTAATGATGACAGATCTCTGTGTAGAGCAATTGGAAATGATCATTCCTGTTCATGTTAACATGAAAACGTGATTTAAAAACACCCCCACGAATTTCCACCCCTTAGCCTCAATGACTGTCTATGGAAGTTGTGTTTGCAATCACCTATTTAGGCTGGCACGACACACAAAAGTGGTACTGCGTGACACACATCAAATCCCCTTTGTCTCCCCAATGTGGATGAAGACACCACACTCGGTACTCATTTGAGATCGCGCTGCCCTAGGGAATGCGCTCAGAGTATGATCGTACGTTCTCACTCGTTCTTCTCTCGAATGGCATTTGAAACTCAGCGGAGGAATTTGTAACGTACACGTGAAGTTTGGAAAACCGTTCGATGGAAGAAGATGACAATCCTCTGGTGGTGTTCTCTGTTTGGTATTAAAACACAACGAATGTCATCGTGTCGTCGACCAAATGCCCTTCATGACAACACTCAATCGTGTACATTTCATTGCAATTGTACGTGAACAGTGAGGAGTGAGAGCGATACAACTATCTTGGATTGAGTCAAATCAGAGCCAACATGTAAAATGAGTATTGAAGAGACTGAGTTTGTGAACCTTGAGAAAAACCAGTTTTAAAGCAGATTAATCTCGAGAGTTGCTACCGTATTTGTGCATTGCTTTATTTGTTCAACGTTACTTTAAAACTAGTCCACCGCCTTACTAAGACCACGAGCCGATACTCTAGGAGGCCGGGATGTGATAGTCAACTAGTCAAACACTCGATACATCAATCAATAAAGACAAATCTTGGATCAGAGTGGCAGGCAATCTCTCAGCCACCATTCTCCACGAAGCAGTGCTGACGTGACCACTGCACTTGTGCCAGGCTAGGTGCATTTCGAGGCCATGTGAAGCTTCGGAAGGCTCGCTGACAGAAGGTCACGGGACAGATCCACGTACACGCACGCACACACGCGCGCGAGCGAATAAGGCTATGACTATGAAGACACATGGTATGGCTCACAAGAACACACACTGCTGCTAGGCAGTGGGGAACAGTGGGGAAACAAGACAGTTGATTTGTGCGTTGTTGTGAGCATAATACATCTTGGGGTATTGGTTATAGTGGTGCTGCTACGTGTGTATGATGATATTTTGTGTGTGTGAGTAGTTGTTAGTAATCACTTCACATGCTCACATGCAGTTCTCCGCATTCATGGCCAAATATGGCACATACAGTAATGCACATTACAATGCACTTGAAAATGTTTGGCACGCACACAAACACCACACGAATGCATAGGTAAGTTAAGCCTCATGTGCGGTGCTCTGCTCGATTTTGCTTCTCAATTGTGTGAGGTGTGATATCAAGTGGCAAATTATAATGATGATGATGATAATAATAATGACTTATGCTAGAATGTTATGACATATTCACAATTCCTGCACAACAACATAACTGTGTCACTTATCCTCGGTAACTGTGTAAACCATTAACATTATCTCCTCCATATTTTCAGTTTGCAAGTATGCCGGCCACACGAAGGCAAGCCGTCCTCAAGTAAGGGGGCGTGGGAGCGGGCAAGGGTTCAAGGGGGTCAGATCACGGGTGCTGAGGTGGAAAGATGAGGACCCTATAATTGACCATCTCAGTGGGTAATTGATTACCTGATAAAAAAAACGAAATCCCTTTGGGACTATGGTCACAGATGCTTCCTAATCTGTAGGGCTGGCTGACCAGCTGGGAATTACTTCACATATGCCTGCACATACAAGGGAACTCTTTCTTTTGAGCCCACTTTAAATCAGTGGGACACGCACTATCGTTCGCGACGGCCTCTCACGGCCCATCACGGCACCACTGAGGGAGTGGTGGAGGTAGCAAGGGGCACACCAAGCAACTATTGTCTCTCCCCCCCTCCTGCCCCCCCCCCCACCAATGTTAGTTTTCGCTGACACTGCACCGCGCAAGGCCGATCTGACCTGGGGAAGTGCTATTTGATATGCGGAGGGGGGAGGACGAGGACCTCACCGATTGTGCCAAATCTTTAGACGTTCAGTCGAGAGACAAGAGCCCACGGCAGAGCAGCGCAGGAGCGCTTGCGTGGTCAATTCTCGCGGCTGAAATCAAAGTCGCGACAAGTGACAGCAGAATGAAGGAGGCTGTCAGTGGGCGGAGAGAGGGCCTGCAACTGGGGTGAGGGGCAGCAGTGATGGGGCATAATCAGGGTGAGTGCACTATTGTGCAGATTTCATGAGCTGTGCACCCCCATGGGCCGCTTCGTTCTTGCGCGCGTGAGCACACGTGCGCGCTCATGCGTGCACCTGTGCGTAGCTGTACGTGTCGTGCCTACGTGTGTGTGTATGGGTTTGTGGGGAGTGATGGTGTCACACGAGTGGCATCATCAGTGATTCTGTGCCTCTCCTAGGGCGATTTAAACGTCAGCACCGAGTGTGGAAACGTTTTTGCAAAGGCGGCCGGAAAATATTTGCTTTCACACTTGCTGCTTGTGCACAAGTCTGTCTGGTCACGAATGCCACTTTCCCAAACAGCCTATTCTATGTTCATCGTAAAGGTTTTTGGGTTAGATCGCGTGATTAATTATTAATGTGTCGTAAACCCACCTCCACCCGACATAGCCGATTCGTAAGTTTTATAACTTATTGCCACCTTTTGTTCACGTGGCAAACCTTACTAATTGTCGGTTTCTGGGGGGGGGGGGGGGGTTAACGATACATTTATATTTCAGAATCCGAATCTTTATTTAGGCTGGAGGAATCCGATGAGCTATGAAGCTCTTTTTGCACAGATACCCAGTCGTTACGCGATCTAGCCCAACATCCTTTATTACGAATAATATTTGTCACGGAAGCCTACGTGTTAAAGTCTATTCAAGGCTATATATTGGTTGTGCTTTTTATACGTTATCCCCACATGAAGACAGACGCTTGCATTGTGGGCGAAACGTCGTGAGAATTGTATTTTATTATGTTTAATTTTTATTATTTTATTATTTCCCTTCTACGTGACTTTACCGAAAGAACCAAGAAGATGAATCCCTGCAATCACGAAAGCTTTAAATCGAAATTTAATTTAGTTGTTTTCATTTTTCATTTGTTTAATTTTTTACCTACTTGACTTTGCCGAAAAAACCAAAGAGTATGGATCCTTGCAGTCACTAAAACTTCAAATCTAGAAATATATACTGGTTCTCTGTGGTGTCCAGTGTGCACATGAATGAGTCGATAGGCACATGCATGCATGTTCGTGGCTGTGCGCGTGCATGCATTACCAGTCTTCAGCCAGGAGAGGGATCCCGCGTCTCAAGGTGGTCAATTGAGGCACAAAAAAAATGTAAATATACAGGGTGATCCTCTTATAGATACCCAACGGATTCTAATAACCCCTATTGCTTTCGTCTCAACAGGTGATTAGATAGTGTATTGCGAAAGTGATGACTTCAGTATATTCGAGGCGAGAGTGATAAACGATTTGCCAGGTGTGTTGATATCGGTGGGAGACACGGAGAGGACTTGCAAGTAAAATATTGTTTTCCCGATAATGTAGTCCCCAATATTTTAGTGGGGTATCGATGAATGGATCACTGTGTATTACACAAGTACTGCTGAAATATGCGTGTGAGTATTTTGTTAGTTGATTTGTTCATGTATTTAATCCCTCATGCACATCTTAATCGTGCCCCTCGTGTGTGTGTGCATGCAACATCAAACATTCAGGATGTAGTATGTTGAACTTCTTTAGCACCGTACGTAGCCAACCCTGCTAATCGCAGGTGGGGAACCTCCCACACCATATTTTTCAAGCTCTTAGCGATCCAATGTTATATTTAGACAAGTATTACATCTACAATTATTTGCCATAGAACATAATAATGTTATCTTAGCACTCACAAGGTTGAATGCACCTGTGCATCTTGAAAGAACAAGTAAAAGATTCCATGGTATACCCAGGTAAGGGGCCGTCCATAAATGACGTCACGCACCTAGGGGGGGGGGGTCAGACATTTGTGACGATGTGTGACGAGGGGGGGGGGGGGGGTTGAGAAATGTGACGTCACATCAAAATGCGCAACTTTAAATAAATATAGACAACACGTTCTACTTAACTAAATAGACTGTTTGATCAATGTTTTCTCCTACAACATCAGAGTGCAGCTCCACATTAAATACGCACTACAATGACAATAGTTAAAAGTGATTTGAAGCATGTTTTATTTTAGGGGGGGGGCAGAGCTTTGTGACGTCATATTTGAGGGGGGGTCTGACTTTTTGTGACGCCCTGTGACGAGGGGGGGGGGTAAAAAATCGTCCAAAATCGCGTGACGTCATTTATGGACGGCCCCTAAGGGGAAGAATTAACGTGACCAGCAGCAACAATTAACATTTATATAGCGTCAACATTTTATCCAGATGCTTGTTAAATATGAACAAAACATCAATAAATATTTATTCATCTAGCGGCGTACTTTGATGACGCAGGATGCAAGCAACTGGAGCTGACGAGGCAATTCAGAAGGAGCAAAAATATATATCAAAACCATTTTTTTCAAAAATGCCACGATCCCTCTGCTACGTTAAGCTCGTGGCAATTACAAGGCCGTGTGCAGAATATGTACAAGAACGCTGGTGTCAAATTGAGATGGAAAGCATCCTGGAATCCCCGTTACGTTCCGTTGCTGAAGACACCTGGCACATACTTAATTTGGAGCTTTCGTGACTGCAGGAATTACTCTATGGTTCTTTCGGTAAAGTCACGTATAAAGAGAAAATAATAAATTAAATACTAGCATACGACGTTTCGATTGCAACACAAGCAATCATCATCAGGTATAAATGAAATAGAACACACAAATCTAGTATACTTAGAAATGTAATGTAATACAACAGAGAGTCGGATAACATAACAGTCAACACCCTACCTGGTTGATTACGTTCTTCCTGAGAATGCTAAATTTGAGAGAGAGATAAAACTCAGAACCAGAGACATATAGACAGACATATAAGTAGAGACACACAGAGAAACCACGCCTCTGTGTCGATGCCTGGTTGATTACGTAATCAACCAGGCCTCGACACAGTGGTTTCTTTGTGTGCCTATGTTTGTCTCTCTCTATGTATCTCCGTGATATCTGTCTCTACTTATATGTCACACCTGATGATGATTGCTTGTGTTGCAGTCGAAACGTCATGAGAATGTTATTGGTTTTATATTTTTATCATTTTATTGTTTCCCTTCTACGTGACTTTACCGAAAGAACCAAGAATATAATGGTTTTATTGTTTAAGTTTTTTTTTGTTTTTCATTTATAACAAATCTTTGTTAAGTAGGTCGATAATGTTTTGATGAGTACATCTTGGAAATGTTTGATTTTGGCACTGCAATTATCAATTGAAAAAAAAAGTTCTGCAAAAATGGCTTTAAATTGTCTTCAAGAAGACCTCCATGTAGTTGTAACTAATTGCAGGGATGCACTCACTCGTGTCTTTCCAGTTGTGTATCTCCAACAATGACTCTTCTTTGTTCGATGCACTTGTTGTAAGTCACGTAGATAGAATGACAACCGCTTGTGTTGCGATCGAAACGTCGTGATATTTTTAATCACTTTATGTTTGTTTTTATTATAATTATTATTTTTCTTCTATCTATGTGACTGTACCGAAAGAATCATATAATATTTCGTTCCTGCAGTCACGAAAGTTTTAAGTCCAAATTTGTTGTAACATGGCTTTGGTTTTACTAATAGTCACTGTAGCTTAACTTTGCAACCTTCTTTGTGAAGTGATCCAGATGTTTCCTGTAGTTCATTTTCAAGTACAATGACATACGGAAAGACTTTGCCATCATCATAAAACTAAATAATCTAAAATAAATAAAGATGATAATGCTTTTGTATGAATGCATTTTAATCCTAGTATCTGCTTGCCGAAAACCTTCAATGTTTTTGCTTCTTCAGCATGTCGCTACTTTATTTTATTTTAGATCACCACACATTGTGCAATTGTCGAACACGATAAGTCCCATTCTCTAACCTGCCTTGTCTGCCCTCTTTGAAGAAGGGTTATTATCCTGACATGTGAACTCATTGCATAGCTTTCATTTCTCAGGCACCGTTTGTTAATGACCGTGATATAATCTAGGATTGAAGCTTTCGTCACTGCAGAAATTATACTCATTGTTTTTGTTCGGTAAAGTCACGTATGTAGAAATAAAATACAATTTAAACAAATAAAACCAGGTGATAATGAGCGCTTGTGTTGCGTTGGAAACGTCGTGATTTATTGAAATTTAATTGTATTTATTAAAATTTTATTTTATTTCTACATCCGTGACTTGACATATATTTTCTACCCGCGAACGAGACGGCTGTGCAACCGCATAGCGACAACAGCGCGTTAGCACATTGAGAGCAAGTGGCACTCCCGTAATGCCGTGGCTTCTGTGAGAAGCCCCGAGCACAGCTCCTTATGGCCTCATTAGCTCCTTGGGGGGCTGGGGCAAGGGGCGGGCCTTGGAACTGACTTGGCTTGTCCTTTTCATTA